TAGGATGGGAGCTGTACACTGTATCTGGGGGTGACTGATTTGATGTGGAAGTGAGGGAACAACGTGGTGGAGTAAAGTGTCTGTGGGCTTCTGTTGAGCAAGTCAGTGACTGCTGCGCTAAATTGAGCTGCACTGTTAATTATTGTCAGCTGCTACTTTGACCCTGCGTTTACACCTGGTCATTTCATACAACTTGTATCGAGATCGCAGGTGTAATTTACACTGGGGACACTGGGCATTAAGCTTTTTAAAACTCCTGATTTCATCCCTACTCTTGTAAAATTTCCAAAAAAAGTTGAAGTCAGGAGCTAAAATGACCAAACAGGCTATAAAAGATTGACTGAAGTTAATAAAATGAATTTCCAGACTTTATCATTTTTTAAGCTTTTATTTTCTGGCAGGACTTGGACGTTAACTGGATGTTAGATATCAGATTGCAGAGGTAACTTATTGAACTGAAAGTGTCTATGGTACCTGTGCCAAAGCTGAAGTTTGCTAGTTCTTCACCAGCTTCTTATTTAAATTTTCCCTTTCACCTTAAATGGTGCAGCAGTTAAAGTCTGGCATTGGATTGTAAACTGCTGGTGTTCTCAGAACAAAGGACTGGCCACCACAGAGTCCAGACCTCCACATCATAGAATGTGTTTGGGATTACTTGGATTGTGAGAAGCAGAAAATTCTAAACCAACTTTTAAGACTAAACTTTGGAAAAATATGCCTGCAGATCTCTTTGAAAAACTGAGATTTTGTGAAAAAAACAAGAAGCTGTAATAAAGACGAAAAGTAAAATTTGAGCCCAAACTGTGTACAAAACAACAAAAAGTATTGACACGACTTTCAAACAGTGCTGTAACACACTGCAGAATCCAGCTTAAACCCTAAGACCATGCAGAAAAGTGTTTTTGGTCATTTCTCACTGCTACACTGACACGTGGCGCTCTGGCGGCGAGTGCACTGACCATAAATAAGAGCAGCTCAGTGTCTGTGCCTGTTCAGATGATGGAGTTAGCAGACAAACACTGTGTTTTTCTGAGGATGAACACAAGGCCTGATAACAGCTTATTAAGACAGATGTAAGTCTTCAGCGTGATACATCAGATGCATATGATGAGTATTATCAGTATGGAACAACTGCATGGATCATTAAAAAGAGCAATTATAGAGAGTCTTTAAACAACAACAACAAACAGTGTACAGTAACTGTTAGTGCATAGTAACAAGCAGCTGATTGGTTCCCAGCCAATTATGACATCATCTTTTTTTATTGATATATTGTTTTTTTGCTTATTTTTGCTGATAATTAAAAGAAACCAACCAAACCAACTCGCTCTCACTCTATCTCTCTCTCTCTCGAAGTTAAGTTACCTTTTTAATCAGTTTCAAACAGACCTTTGCTCCCAGCCAAGTGCTGTTCACAGTAAACCCCCTAAGAGAGAAGACGAGAGAGAGAGAGAGAGAGAGAGAGAGAGAGAGAGAGAGAGAGGATGTCACCTTGCAATATAATATTCAGAAAGTTTCTCACAGCAAGCTTTGAGGATATGAGTGATAAAACTCAACCCACTTTCACCCTCCCTCTCTCTCCTCTCTCTCTCTCTCTCTCTCTCTATTCACTCTCTGCTCTCTCTTTGCTGTCTCTTTCTACCTCTCTCTCTCGTTTCCTTCTTTCTTCCACTGTTCCTTTCTCTCTCTTCCACCTCTCTCTCTTTTCCTTCTTGCTTTCACTGTTCGTCTCTCTCTTTCCCTGACTCTCTGTCTCACCCTCACCCTCCATATCTCTCATCTTTCTTTCTCTCTCACTCTTCCTCCCCTCTCCCTTTTCCTTCTTTCTCTCTCCCTCTCACTCTCTCTCTCTTTCTCCTTTTTCCTGTCTGTCCCCCTCCTCCATCTCCCTCACTCTCTCCCTCTTCCTCTCTCTACTCTCTCTCCCCTCTCTTTCTCTACTTTCTCTTTGCTCTCTTTCTCCACTCTCTCTCTGTCTCTTTCTCTCTCTACCTCTCTCTTTTCCTTCTCTCTTTCATTGTTCCTGTCTCTCTCTCCTGCCCTCTCTGTCTCACCCTCACCCTCTATATCTCATCTTTTTTACTTTCTTGCTCTTCCTTTTCTTCCCCTTCATTTTCCTTCTATCTCTCCCTCCCACTCTCTCTCCTTTCTCCCTTTCCCTGCCTTTTCCCCCTTTCTTCCCCCGTCTCTTTACTCTCTCTCCGCTTTCTCTCTTTGCTCTCTCTACCTCTCTTTTCCTTCTTTCGTTCACTTTCTCTGTCTCTCTCCTGCCCCTAGGTCTCACCCTCACCCTCAAGATCTCTCATCTTTCTTACTCTTTCTTGCTCCTTTTCTCCCCCTCCCTTTTCCTTCTTTCTCTCTCCCTCTCCCTCTCCTTCTCTCTCTCACTCTCTTTCTATGCCGCTCGCTCCTTGCAATACAAATCGTGTGATTACCTCCTCTATTCAGCTGACTGAGCAGTTCTGTGTAAGTCCTGCTTAGGCACTGTATTTAAATAACGTTCGACTCATCAGCATTGTGCATTTATGAGCAGAGGATGATATATTGAGCATTTGGCTTAATGTCTGCTGTATAGATTTTATATTCAGTCACACTGTTCCCAAGAGACGAGGTCAAATATAAACATGGCAGCTTTTAGCCTCCCATGATTTAGCGTTCCATATGTGTTTTATAGTGGCATTAATCACTGCAGAAATACTTTACTGTTAAATGCAGGCTGGACACTCGCAGGTTCCTACTCTTTTCTCCTGCAGTGTAAACTGGCCTGCACACAAAGAGCAACCATTCCAATAGCATTTTAACACGGACATGGTTCGACACAGAACTCTTTCAAAGCGTACTCAGTGCAGTTAGCTGTAGCTAACTAGCTGTAGAAATGAGCTTTCTTCGCAGGGTGGCAGGCTACACTCTAGTTGACAAGGTGAGGAGCTCATTCATCCGGGAGGAGCTCAGAGTGGAGCCGCTACTCCTCCACAGGAGCCAGTTGAGGTGGTTCAGGCATCTAAGCAGGACACCCCCTGGCCACCTCCCAGTGGAGGTTTACCAAGCACAGCCTAATGGGAGGAGGCTTGGGTTTTGACATGTGTTTAGCCCCTTTTGCCAGTGATTATGTTTTCTTCTGTGAGTAATAACACACTTCAGTTCACTGTTATTCTCCTGCCAAATGACTGGAGAGGCTGTAGCACCTACCAAAGCAGAAAGGCTCAGAAACATATCTAAATTGTCATCTTTTACAGCACTAACAAGGATGCCAGATTGAGACAAGCAGCAGGTCAGACCATCTGTTTAATGTATATTTACATGACAGTTTGTTGACAGAAAGAAACTTATATTTACTTGTTAGCATGGTACAGTTTCACAGGGGAAGAAAAAAATACATCACTCCGGTTTAATGAACAGTGCAGCAGCGAGTCTCTAAAGCAGTGGTCACCAACCCTGATCCTGGAGGTCAGCCCTTATTTCCAACCACAATCTGGCCTTGGCTGCATCCAACATCAAATGTCAAGAATGGCTCACTACCATTAGAACTGCATTCATTTGAATAGAATGTGTAGTATAGTAGTATGCGGCTTTTGCCCTTGATTGGCTGGATTAGATGCATTAGTGTTAGGTTAGGGTATGTTAGATAGAGCTTACATATTGGTGGTTGGTGACCAATGCTCTGATGACTTCAGCCCGACAATTATAAAAGTCTAAGTGTTGTTATTATTTGAATGTGACATGCCGACATGGTATTGTAAATGAAAAGCTGTGTGTATTTTACAGTTCCTGTTGAAAAAAACAGCACAGGCCATTATGAATTCCATGCTGATCTAAGCTGGTTTAGCTGGTCTGGAACACACCCGGGGGTTTGCTCTGAGTGAGGATTGAACTCAAGACCCTTGTGTTAGTAGTCAGGAGCGCTAAGAGACAAACTAACTGGTGGATACTAGAGGATGGCCTCAAGTGCAACTGAAAGTTGGTGCAACTCAAAACAATATAGGCTAAGAGGGGGAAAACAAACAACCAAACAAACAAACAGAAAAGCAACAAATTAAAAAGGGAATGCAGTAAATAAGGAAAGTTAACTAGTCACGGGGGGATTGAACCCTCATTCACCTCGTTGCCAGACTAACATGCTATGCAGTGTGTCATTAAAGGAGACAATGGCTGTGCTAACTAAAGACTTGAAAAAAGGATGACCCAAACTGAGAGCTCCCCAAAACTGAAATAAAAAAATTCCCTTCTTAAATTTCACCCTTGCTCCTTCCCTAAACGTGGAGAGTGAAACACACGCAGAAGATTTTTTAAATACTTATCCTTGAGAGCAATTTGTGAAAAGCAAAGACTCAAAACTTGAGACAGAGACCAGGGTTGCCAGCTGAGTCAGAGCAACATGCATGTAGCACCATGAACTCAAGGCTGAGCACCAAGCAGCGTGTGAGCACCCCTTAAGTAGGGTGCCCACAGCTGCTACCACGCAGCCCTAATTAGTCAGTCCTCGCACTCCGGCCCCTCCTAGCAGCTCGAGGTGGCCTAGCAGCCAACATCCTACCAACATCCAAAGCACATCAAATGCTGCTTTTGTTGGTGATCAGCATAACAGCTTTTATGAGTGGGATATGATAAGTGACATCCCAACTGTGGTTTGTTTACAGTAGATGTGTTATGGTGATTCACATCACAGCCATGATGTCATTCATCTAAATTCCATATAGGGAAGTCTCTAGACTCAGCAGTAGGCTTAGCAATGCCACCAGCAGTTATATCCAGTCTTAAAAGACCATGATCTTCTACTTCAGTGAGGAGAGACTAAAAACTCAAAACTGCCTTTTAAACTGGAAGGTCAAAGTAGCATCTCTAAACAAACATGGTGGCATCCTGAGTGGATTATTTAGGTATTATAGAGGAAAAAGTAGGTGGCAAGGAATGAACGCCCTGACATCTCAGAGTTTCAACATTTCTGAGAATCAGCAGCCTTAAAATGAATCTTTGTGAATTTCTTCTCTTTGTCTCTCCAGGCGAGGATAATGACCGGGAAATCCAGGTGGTGGAGCTGCCCATAGTGGACAGTCTTCACCCCAGGCCCCCCTACCTGCCCCTGGCCATCCCGGAGGACCTGGCCCCCCGGCTCCAGCGTCTCCATGGCGACCCTTCGGTCTGGTGGGTTTCTCAGTTTGTGAAGTATCTGGTACGTCCGCAGGCCTGGCTGGAGAAGGAGATGCAGGAGGCCAGCGTCAAACTGGGCTTCAAACATCCAATTATCGGGTCAGTGCACTTCAATGTTTATTCAGTTTATTAATATTTATTGTCATGCTGACTAGTGATGTCATTATATAAGAGTAAAAGTGTAAGCTCTACTACAGTATTTAGTCATGGGACATACTTCTGTCCATGATAAACACATAGGAACTATCTCTGTTGGAACAAAACCTTCTCCTGTCCAGAAAAGTACGTTTACAGAAGAAGGAAAAAACAATCATATCTTTTAATGGAAGTAACTGAGGAAATGATTAATTTCAAGTAATTTTGCACCACTTCTCTTGGCCTGTTCATCATGAAATTCTGACACAATGTAAAGAGCAGCTGGCGATTTCAAATTCTGGCAGAAAATGGAAAACGACAAAAATGGAGCTTTTAGCCTGATTATAAGCAAATCTATTTGAGATTATTGAATGGAAATTCAGGCCTAAAACTAGCATTTAATATCTTATTTGTCATGTTATGAAATATTCTACAATGCAGCCTCATCGCTTTGAGAGAATTTGCAGTGTTATCTACAATACCCAGCATGCATTGTACTAATTTGTCATATAGCCATCCTTCTGTATAGCCAGCTAGTGAGGAAAAAAGCATTTCAAACAGGTTGCCTCCAAAAATCCACACCAAAAGAGCTCGTAGTTTTCAAGATTTCCTCCCACCTTTGAGATGCATCATCAGAGGGTTTTCAAATTCCTCAGACTGGATTATTGTGGTCCTGCTGGAGGAGGCGAGTAGGCATGTTTACAGCCGAGGTAGTGATGGTTAAATTGTTCATTTTTGCCAAATGTCCCTTTAAACAACTCAACATGGTTTGAGACGAGCATGTGATGAACTAGGTATGCTAACCTGGTGGCTTTTAGCTCTATTATTTGTTAGCAATACTTTTAGAAAAAAGGGTTCTATATAAAAAAGGTTCTTTAAAGAAGATATAACAGGATTTATGCATGCAAAGCACCATTTAAATGGTCTGCATAACTCTTGCCTTTAGGAAAGAACCTTTGAAGAACCATTTCATTATACCACTTAAAATGATTTTCTTCAAGGGTTCTTCAGTAAAGAAAATGGTATAATTCTCTATGAATTGTGGTTTATGGTATAATCTATATGAACACTCAAAGAACTCTTTGCATGATGAAATGGTTCGTTGCAACATGAAAGGGTTCCTCAGACTGATGGAGCTTGTGCTGTAGATGGTTCTATATAGAACCTTTTTGAAAAGGGTTCTTCTATTGTAACAACATTCTTAAAAAAGGTGGTTCTTTAAAGGTTCTTTAGTAAGGAAAAGGATTGTATATAGAACCATATACAACAACATTCAAAGAACCTTTTATATGATTAAATAGTTATTTGCACTGTGAAATCGTTCTTCAGATTGATGGAGAATGTGCTGTAGATGGTTCTATATAAAACTTTTTTGAAAATGGCTCTATATAGAACCCAAAGGGGTTCTTCTACTGTCATGATGTCAAGCTTGTAACAATAGAAGAACCCTTTTTGGTGTCATATAGAACCATGTAGAGCACATTCTCCATCAATCTGAAGAAACTTTCACAATGCAAAGAACCATTCAATCATGCAAAGGGCTCTTTGAATGTTAATAGTTCTATATAGAACCATTTTCTTTACTATAGAACACTTGAAGAACCATCACTTTTAAGTGTGTAGCCTCACAGCTCCAGTGCAAAACTAAAGGAACAAACTTGAGACACCATGCATGTCTTGGCTGATTGAATAAGTTTAATAATAATAAAACAGTGTATTAGATTTATTGCAAAACTATCACTTTAATTAAATGAGTAAAGTCATCATCCCATTACAGAGAAGAGGAAATGCAAAAGTTTGAACACCCTGGTCAAATGACATGTTTTACTGATGTTCTAGGTGAAAATGAGTGAATACATCCTCTACAGAAAATAAACTAAGCTTTTTTTTCTGCTAATTTTAGTGCACAAATTCTATTTATTTGCTGAGTTTAACATATTGGGGAAAAAAACATGTGCCATAACTTGCACAGCCCACATTTAATATGTTAAATTCAATAAATAAACAGTAATTGTGTATTACAGTGGGCAGAACTGTGTTCTCTGTAGAGGATCTTTAAATATATTTTCACACAGAAAATCAACATCAAGATGGAATTTGACTGAGGGTGCCTAAACTTTTGCATACAACTGTAGTTGTTCCAAAAATTCAAAAACTTTCATCCTCCTGATCATTAGTGGTCAGTGGCAGGAGGACCCTCCCCCTTCTTCATCTTCCCTCTCCGTTGATTAGAGAGGAGCAGAAGCCGTCTCTCCACTGTCTCCTCATACGTCTCAGTGTTAATCTCTCACAGCATCAGTTCACAGATAACGAGAGAGCGAGTGAGCTTTAGAGAGAGAGGAGTGAGCTTTAGAGAGAGAGGAGTGGACAGCAGTGACCGGCTGCTGAACTGTCACTGTTAGATTACAGCTCTGGCTTCATCACAGCTCCTGGAATGTTGTTCATTTGTTGGAGCTGATTTTATTATGTTTTAAGTGGTTTTATGTTTGATAGCGTTTCTGTTCTTGCGCTTCTCCTCATATTCAGCTGCTGCTGTTTTTTTTTCTTCAATCATTTATGGTGTTGCTCTCTCTTCCTCTCTTGTCGCCGTGCACCACGCTATCCATCTCTGTCTCTCCATCCTCCATCTATTCACGTCTTCCTCTGCTGCTTCCCTCCATTTCTCTCCGTCTGCTCCCACCCTCATCACTCATTTCCCTCTTTCAGAGCTCCTTTTGTATTTTTAGCCCTTATCTTCCCTCTGTCTCTCTCTCTCTCTCTCTTTTCTCTCTCTGTCTCTCTCACTTTCTCTGCCTTTTTCTCTCACCTTTCTCTGTCCTTTCTCTTTCTCATTCTCTCTCTCCTTTTTCTCTCATTTACTTTATCCTTTCTCTGTGCTCTATTTTTTCTCTCATGTTTCTGTCTGTCCCTCTTTGCTCTTTTATCTTTCCTTCTCTCTTACTCTCTCCTCTTTCTCACTGTCAATTTCTCTGTCCTTTCTGTCTCTCTGTCTCTCTGCTTCTCTCTCTTCTTCTTTTTTCTCTCTTTCTCTTTTTTCTTATCCTCTCTCTTCTCTCTGTCAATTTCTTTTTTCTCTTTCTCTCTCCTTACCCCCTTTATTGCTCTCTGCTTCTTTCTCTCTCTCTCTATTTTCTCTTTCTCAGTCTCTCTCTTTTCTTTCTCTCATTTTCTCATTCTCTGTCTCCCTTTTCTCATTCACTTTATACTTTCTTTATGCTCTCTCTCTTTTCTAACTCATTTTTCTCTATCCTTTCTCTGCTCTTTATCTTTATCTCTCTCTCTCCTCTTTCTTACTGTCAATGTCTCTATCTTTGTCTCTCTTCTTCCCCCTTTTTTGCTCTCTCATTCTCTTTCTCTCTCACCTTTCTCTTTCTCAGTCTCTCTCTTTTCTTTTTTTCTCTCTTTCTCATTCTCTCTTTTTCTCTCTTTCATGTTATTTCTGTTTTCTCTCTCTCTCTCTTCCTCGCTCTCTCTGTCTCTCTCTCTCTCTCTCTCTCTCTCTCTCTCTCTCTCTCTCTCTCTCTCTGTCTCTTATTCTTTTCTCAGTCTCTCACTCTCTCCACTGGGTACCTGAGTGAAAAGATGGGTGTTGGTGATGAAAGTGTGAGAGTAGACTCCATTCAGCAGTGCAGTTCAGGCCCTGTAGGAGCTGCTTTGTGGAGTTCAGGGAACAACGTCATTTTTTCATACTGCTTCCTGAAGAACTCTCCAGAGCAAATATATAGAGTCTGAGCCAGTGGAGCCAGGGTCAGCAGGATGTGATGAAGATATCGCTGTTGTTGTAACTAAACCTCATATCTCAGAAAAAGAAAAAAGATAGTTTACTTGTAATGTAAGTCAATGGAACCAGATTTCTTTCCTAGTAATTCTGGATCATTTTTGTGGGTCCATTCATCATGAAGTTTACACACAATGTAAAAGTCAACAGGTATTTTATATATATATATATATATATATATAAAAAAATATATATATATATATATATATATATATATATAGTCTCTGGACTCTTTGGAGCAGAGCCAGTTTTACACTCTGCTCTTGCTTTTGTTAGTTTGCAGTTGATTTATCCACAGCTCTCCTGTGAGCTCTGTCCAGTGCTCATTTTTAATAAATGAACTTCTTCTTCTACTTCTTTGTTGGTTTTAAATAATTTAACATACTGGCTTAAAACTGTACAAAACAGGGAAAAAAGTACATACAACACTAAATGATAAAAACCAGAATAAGAAAACGAGCCTTACTAATTTACTGTACATTCACTGAGCACTTTATTAGGAACACCTCTTTGTATCTACTTTTACTGTCCACTGACCATATAGGAGCACTTTGTAATTCTACAGTTACAGACTGTAGTCCATCTGTTTCTCTGCATACTTTATTACTCCATTCTTCAATGGTCAGGACCTCCACAGAACCCTCACAGAGCAGGTATTATTTGGGTGGTGGGTCATTCTCAGCACTACAGTGACACTGACATAGTGGTGGTGTGTTATTGTGTGTTGTGCTGGTGTAAGTGGATCAGACACAGCAGTGCTGCTGGAGTTTTTAAACACTGTGTCCACTCACTGTCCACTCCATTAGACACTCCTACATCGTTGGTCCACCTTGTAAATATAGAGTCAGAGACGATAGCTCATCTATTCACAGTTTGTGTTGGTCATCCTCCAGTCCTTCATCAGTGGTCACAGGATGCTGCCCACTGGACGCTGTATGGCTGAATATTTTTGGTTTTCAGTCCAGCAGTGACACTGAAGTCTTTAAAAACTCCAGCAGCACTGCTGTGTCTGATCCACTAGTACCAGTACAACACCACTAACACATCACCACCACATCAGTGTTACTGAAGTGCTGAGAATGACCCACCACCCAAATAATGCCTGCTCTGAGGTGGTCCTGTGAGGGTCCTGACCATTGAAGAACAGGGTAACAAAGTATGCAGAGAAACAGATGGACTACAGTCT